CCGGCGCGTCATGCAGGGGGGGAGGGCGGAGGGCGGGAGGCGAGAGAGCGCTTTTCCTACGATGCTAACCCCAGTTCAAAACGTCCCTCGAGCACGTCGTTATACGTTAAATCAGCGAGCCGCGAGGAGAGTTCATGCAGAGACAGAGAGAGACCCTCATTTACCCGCGCTGTGCCGGGTCTCTTTCTCTTCACTGACTCTGACACTGTCACTGAGTTCACCGTCGCGGGATAAGCATAAGGCCGGCCCCGGCGCCAATTACGTACACGGGTTACGGCTCTTACACAGGACCGGGTTTTTTGAGTTTTGCTTTTGTGCGTGCGCGTATGAGGCGTTGTCTTCAACATGTATTTTTCGAGAAACAGCTGTGCACGCACGTGCGAGCGCCGCCCCGGCTTATACCCGGGGTCGCTTGGTCTTGCGCCCCCCACCCCCCTCCGCCTTTCGGTGCTGCGCGATGGGATCGATGACCGCACCGCGCACAGTGGAGACGCGCGGCTTGACCAGCGCCGCGTGGGAGTCCACGGTGTTCCACTCGAGGCCGACCGGGTTGCGCATGCTCCGCTCAAACTGCTCGCGCGTCTTGAAGGGGAAGGGCACAGCCGCGACCGTGAAGCGCGCCGCCTTCTTGTCGCGCTTCTCCGACACGATGACGTGGCGCAGCGCCGCGTCCTGCCGCCTTGCAGCCGCCGCCTCAAGCTGCTCGCGCCGCGCCTCCGCCGCCGAACGCTTCCGCTCCAGCTGGCGTTTGCCGACGCGCGCCCCCAGACCCGCCCAATCGCCCCAGCCAGGGAGGGTCTCCTCCTCCTCCACGCCGGCTTCCGCCTCGACGACGCCCCGCTTCTCCGCCTCGAACTCGGCCGCGACCGCGCTCTCCGGGAAAGCGGCCTCGACGAGTGCCCGCTGGCTGGCGCACGGCAGCAGAAGGGAGGCGCCTATCGGGCGGGGCAGGGAGCGCGCGAGTGAGAGGGCAGCAGCGACGTCTCGGCGGCGGCGACGGCGAGAGCCGGGAGAGGGAAGGAGAGAGGGGAAGAGGGAGAGAAGCGAGCGTCACCGTCGACCAGCTCGTCCCCGCCGTGGCCGAAGTCAGCCTCCGCGTCCGCCGCCTCCTCGGCAGCACCGTCCGCCTCGCCCGCCACGGCGCCACGCCGGCGCTTGCTCGCTCTCCCCCGCTTGCCCTTGCTCGCCGGCGCTCCCTCCGCCCGAGCCTCGCCCTGCTCGTCTGGCCCTGCAACGCGGACCGCCGCCGGCGGGGCCAGCGCGGCAGCGGCCACACCGCCCGCAAAATGGTCCGATTGCGCGCGCGGCAGCAGCGTGTGGCCAGCGGGAGAAACGATGTCGGGCACTGCCCAACCGCTGCCCGGCTCCGCCTTTGAGGCCGGCGGCCGCGCCGGCGCCGAGGAGGATGGCGCGGGGGCGGCCGCAACGCGCGCAACCGACTTCCCGCCGGCGCCTCTTCTGTCCGCGCGAGGCCGCGCAAGTGCAGGGCTGCCCGCCGCCTCCTGGCCTTCGCTCCCCATGGGCAGCCTCGCGCCGACGGTGACCGCCGCCGCGCCTCGCGTCTTGCGCAACTGCCCCGCCGTCGACAGCGCTGGGAGCGGGGCGGGCGCAACTGCTGGAGGCGCGGCGGGTGGCGCGACCGCCGCCGCCGCCTCGTCGCGGCCGGCTGTGCCCTCTTCGTCGGAAGCATCGCTGCCCTCGTCGCCCCGTCCGCCGGACGCCGGCACCGCGACCGAACCGTGGCGCAAGTCCGCCGACAGCTCGTCGAGCATCTGCTGCGCCTCGCTACGCTGCCGCTCGTGCGCACGGCGCATGAAGGCCATGCCAAACACGCCCTTGCTCGGCCGCTCCGGCTCAGCCTCATTCTGCAGCTTCCACAGTAGCTTTGCGTCCCGCTCGGCCGGCTCCAGCGGCTCGCCGCCCTCGCTCTCGTCGTCGCTGTCGTAGTCGCTGTCGTCGTCGCTGCCGGCCGCCTCCGCGTCCATCTGCTTGCGGCGCAGCTCTTCGCCTTTTGCGACCTGCTCTTGCACGGCCTGGGCGAGCGCCGGGTTGTGCTTCTGCTGCTTGAGCGCGTGCTTTGCCCAGCGCGACCTGCAGACACGCACCCACACGCATGCCGTGAGCCATGTTGTGTGGCTCATGGGCGTGGGGGTTGGGATCCGGAGGCGAAACGTTCAAAGGGCGGTGTTGGCCGCAGAGGCGCGTGGCAGGCGCTCAAAGTGTCTCGAAACTGTCTTGGGAGTGTCTTGGGAGTGTCTCAGGCCCCGCGCACGTGTTCTTGTGCTTGAGGGTCATGCGCTCGCGCACACGCTCCACCTCGCGCTTCATCTGCATGCGTTGCGCCGAGTGCTTGTCCAGCGCCTCCTCCGCCTCCGCCCGCGCCTTGGATGCCTTCTTGTGCACCTTGCGGTACGACCGCGACTTGATCTTGGCGACGCGCTTGGCCTTCGCCTCGTGGTAAAACAGCAAGTCGCGCATCTTCTTCATCTCCGCCATGCGCTTGGCCGCCTGCGAGCGAGCGCGCGGGAAAGGGGAGTGACACACGCCGGCGGCGAGTCTGGGCCGCGTGCTTGGTGGAGAGAGCAGAGGCTCCCGAGCGGCGGGAGAGAGGCCTCGTGTGGCAGTCATGGACGGGTCTTGGACAGGTCATGGACCCGGGGCGGAGCGACCAGCACACCTCTTGCGGGGTGAGGCGGGCGCTCTGGTCGAGGCCGCTCAGCGCCTCGCGCTCCGCGGCCGCGACGGCGCGCTCGCTCAGGCCCTGGAGGGGAGGCAGGAGGGTTGAGCCTTTGCGGCACCCCTTGCAAAAGGGTGCATGTGTGTGGCGGGGCATCCTTGTAGGCGGAGCGGAGTGGATGCTAGCGCCTCGAGCCGCTCCTGGAAGTGTCTCGGAAATGTGCAGGGTCGGATACCTGCGCCTCGAGCAGCTCGTCGACGCCGCGCTCGAGGTCGTTCTTGGAGGCGCCCGCGGTCAGCGAGCCAAGCGTCGCGCCGTGCACGTGCTGCCGCTCCGGCGGGAAGCTCAGCGACTCCGCAGCCGCCTGCTTTTGCACCGCACCCTCCCACCCAGACACGTCGGCGTGCGCCGCCTCCGCCGCAGCCTTGCGCTCGATCCTGCGCTTGTCGCTCAGCTCGAGCGGCGCGGTCAGCTGCGCGTGGGAGGAGCGACGAGCGCCCTGCTTTGCCACCCCCTGCAGGTCGCGCTGCAGCTGCCCAAAGCCCGCCTCGTCGCCGAGCGAGCCTGGTGAGGCAGAGGCGGTGGTGAGGCAGAGGCAGTGGTGAGACTGCGGCAGTGGTGAGACTGCGGGCGGCGGCGGTGAGGGCGGCAGTCGTAAGCGCAGCAGTGTAGGAGGGGCGGGAGCTGGAGGGGGGGGGGGGGGGGGCAGCCGGGAGAATAGGGGCGGAAGGGCGGCAGGTAAAAAAAAGGCCGGTGTGTGCGAGGCCCGCGCCGAGCAGGTCGTCGACGCTCAGCTGCGGGGCATCGGGCATCGACAGCTCGCCCTCCTCGTGGCCCTCGGTGCGCTCTCGCGGCCGCCGGGCGCCGCTCGCGCGCAATCCCACGGCCTGCAGCATTGCGGCACCCTCGGAGGAGCGGGCGGCCTTCTTCTTGGCCGCGCCGCCGCCACCAGCGCCCTCGCCGTCGCTCTCAGAGAGCATGCGTGAGAGATCTGTGACGTCATCGGGGTCGACCGATGAGCCCATAGACTCCAGATCATCCGGACGCCGCCGGACGCCGACCCCGTCGTCGTCCTCATCCGAGGTGATCTCCTCGTCCTCGCCTGCCAGGCCGCCGTCGCTCTCCTCAGAGTCATCGTCGAGAGCGCGGCGGCGGCGAGCGCCCGCTTCTTCGCGGTCGTCCTCAAAGACGTCCTCCTCAAAGACCGCCGCGGATGGCGGCGTGCCGCGATGCACCTTCTTCGGCATGGGTGGCACTCAAGCGTCGACGAGGCCGTGCTTTCGAGAAAAAAATACCTCTAAAAATTAGACTGGGCACAGGACTTCCCATCCCTACCTTGGGTTGTCCGTTTTCTTTCTTTCTGGGCACGGGACTGGCGCGCACTGGCACTAACACAGGTACACCACGGGAGCCGCCTAGGCATCCTAAGCGACTCCTGCGAGGACGGCGAGCGAGGCACTTAGCTCCGTGCACTCGACCGCCCTCGCCGCAGGCAAGCTCATTCACAATCAATCTGCTCTGCGATGGCCGTGTGAAGAACGTCTGAGATGCGCTGCTTCTGCAGCCCCAGCCAGCTCTTGGTGGTCCATGTCACCTCATCGAGGTACTGGGCCCGCGTCAGTTTGTTCCATCCTTCTCTTAAGCCCCTCGCAAGTTTCTCAAATTCCAATGAAGCTTCGTGGAAATCGTCGAGCAACCCAGAGGGAAACCAGAGGGTCCCCGGCACTTTGCGTTTCCGGAAGTTTCCAGGGAAAGCAGAGGGTGTTTGGTGCTCCATTCTGTTTCTCTCGAGTTTCCCTGTACCCTGAGTCTGAGTACTGAGAGCTGGTCTGGGGCAAAATCTGAGGCAAAATTGAGGAAATCGGCACGATACCGGGTATTTTCCAGGTATACCCGGGGTTTGTCAGAGCCCGGAAAAATGGATGGTTTCCCCGGGAGTTTCCCCAGGAAACTAGAGGGTGCTGTAGGGAAACTAGCAGGAAACACGGAAAGGAAACCAGGTAGGGTGCGAGAGGAAACCCGTGCGAGAGGAAACCCTTGTATGTGCAGGCCAATGGGGGGCCAGAGAGAGAGAGAGAGAGAGAGAGAGAGAGAGAGAGAGAGAGAGAGAGAGAGAGAGAGAGAGAGAGAGAGAGAGAGAGAGAGAGAGAGAGAGAGAGAGAGCAGAGCGGGGTTGAGAGTGATGAGTGTGAAACTCGGCAAACTCCCACCTGGGGGTGGTCCTCGGTAGCCTGAAAATCCCCGGGTGTCATACTTACTTGGTTGGATGGAAATCCCCGGTTCTATCTAGCCAGACCCCAGCTGTCCCGTGGCTGCTGGCTGGGTTGCCGGTTGCCGCACTAACAGCAAACTAATTCCGGAAACACAAAACCTCGCGGGCCTTCTCCCGAATAGCCTCACTGATGTCGCTGGGCGGGCTGTCGACATAGTTGGAGAGATGCAGCAGGGACGCAGGGGAAGGGGTGCCCCTGGCCTTACCCGCACCGTCGGGCGCAGGCCTGCGGGGAATGCGGACCGGGAGGGCCTCCGGTTTATAACCCACGATCAGAGGGCATGAAGTCGGCTGAATAGTGTTCAGGAAATCCAGCGCCGGAGCGTACCGCGCATAGGCTGTCGGTGACATCACCTCGCCCATGCGACCGGCGGCAAACATGGCGTCAGTCTGCGTAATGGGGAATAAATCCGCTCGGGATCGGCCTTCCGAGTTCATGACTGTCATGAAGTTCTCCAGGAACAGGCGTGTCTTTGTCGTCTTGTCCCCGGTCTTACCCCCTCGCTGGGCGAGGAACTGGATACCAGCCGCCCTGTACGTCTGCAGGGCTGCCACGAGGGAGGATCCTGCCCCACCAACCACGGGCAGGACGCCGTGTGGGAGCATGTCAAATAGCCTCGCGGCCTCGTGATCCGCCTTCGATTTTCTCTCATCAGCGGCGCTCTCAAAGCTCTTCCGCTTCCCAGGAGCGGACACAGGCCGTGGGGCGTCCAGAGCCACGAAAGCCTCCAAGAGAGAGTCTGCTGTGGTGGAGACCTGAGCCACAGTGGCACCTGGCATCTGTGGCGCAGGTCCATGAGAGGCGGGCGCTAGGTCCCGGTCTCCAGAGGAGGCACCTGGCCGCTGTGGCGCAGGTCCTCGGGAGGCAGGCGCTGAGGCCTCCTCCACCGATCCAGCGCGGTCAAGAGACCCGGCCTGTCGGTCGTATGAGTCCAGCAGCGACGCGCTTGCTGTGCCACCCTCTTCAACTGGCGTGGCTGCGGGCTCCACTTTGCCGCAGATGAGGTTGTAGGCGTCCAGGAGACTGCCCACCATAGCGCGGCGCGAGAGCGCAGCGCGTCAATCGGCACGCAAGGGTTGCGAGCCGGTGGAGAAAGAATGGTCGACTACCGCACGCTCTGCGTCGGCTGCGAGGCCATGGCCTCGCGTCGACTGGAATCGCGCGGACGCGCGTTATTGGTGATAACTTCGAAGTTATCGAGGAACGTCGGATACTAATCGGTAAAGAACCCGGGCCGCGCTAAAGCGCTATCCGGCATTCACTCAGCCTCCGCTGCTGTGAACACCAAACTTGCACTTCGCTGGTGCGCGCTTTCGCCGCCTACTTTCGCGAGCGCGCTTGGCCCTTGCTCCTCATGGGCGGCGCTCTCGCTGCGCTCTCTCCCTGCTCATGGGACCTGATGCCGCGCCACCTCTGTGGCCGCTCCATCCTCTCTGACGGCGCCAGCCCTCCGGCTGCGCCATCTCTCTTTGGTTCGTGTGCCGCCTCGTGGGCGGCGTGGCGTGGCGGGCGGCTGTCTCTGCCGCCGCCTCGAGTGAGCCTCGTCTCGCTCTTCGTCTACTCGAGCCTCGCCTCGTCTGCCGCCTCGTGGGCGGCGTGGCGTGGCGGGCGGCCGTCTCTGCCGCCGCCTCGAGTGAGCCTCGTCTCGCTCTTCGTCTACTCGAGCCTCGTCTCGTGTGCCGCCTCTTGGGCGGCGTGGCGTGGCGGGCGGCTGTCTCTGCTGCCGCCTTGAGTGAGCCTCGTCTCGCTTTTCGTCTACTCGAGCCTCGTCTCGTGTGCCGCCTCGTGGGCGGCGTGGCGTGAATGTAGGCTTCACGCTGGGGTCGCTCCTCGTCACGAGCGCATCTGCCCCTCTTCTGGCTTCATTGGGATGCGAGGTCCGTCTGCACCCGCTCCCTCCACTCTGCGTTGGGATGTCAGGTACTGCGTAGCTCTTCCGTTGTGGAGGCACGCGACTCCAGACTGACCCTTTACGCCCCAATGTATCACACCTCACGGTGCAGATGCTTGGGTCATGTGGAGAAGCCGAGATAAACTAGTCCGCCGATAACGATTGGGGTGGGGGCCCCAACTCGTGGTAGGCCACTAGTTTATCGTAGGGTACTCACGGATACCTCTCCTGAGTCCCTCTCATGTGCCCTCGCGCACATCGCATGCGGTCTTCACTCAGCCTCCGCTGCTGTGAACACCAAACTTGCACTTCAGCTGGTGCGCGCTTTCGCCGCCTACTTTCGCGAGCGCGCTTGGCCCTTGCTCCTCATGGGCGGCGCTCTCGCTGCGCTCTCTCCCTGCTCATGGGACCTGATGCCGCGCCACCTCTGTGGCCGCTCCATCCTCTCTGACGGCGCCAGCCCTCCGGCTGCGCCATCTCTCTTTGGTTCCCACCCACCCTCTCCTTGGTGGCATGCTAAGCGCTCACGCTAGCATGGGATCCACCGTGGCTCTCACGGCAATGTCAGCTCGAGCCTCTGCTCGCGTAATGGGTCCTGTCGTCGGCCCATCTTACCTCTCCCCCCTCTTTATGCGGGGGAGACTCCCGCGTCGTTTACGCGGAGGTAGGTGCTCTACGTAGAGCCCCACCTCTCTTCTTGGTCTGAGGTGCGATCCGCTTACGGCGCCGCGGCCGGCTGCAGGACGTTGAGGTTACCTCCGGACCTGCAGTTCGTCCAAGCTGTTTGAGTCCCAACCCTCCGCCTTTAGTGGCAAGACCCCAGGGGATGTCAGGTACTGCGTAGCTCTTCCGTTGTGGAGGCACGCGACTCCAGACTGACCCTTTACGCCCCAATGTATCACACCTCACGGTGCAGATGCTTGGGTCATGTGGAGAAGCCGAGATAAACTAGTCCGCTGTTTTCACGGTGCTCAGGACGCCCCTCGGTTAAGCTGCGGTGCAAAACTCTTTTTACCACCTTCAAGTACACCCCCAAGACTCCCCCAAACCGCCCAGGGTGAGCTCGTGAGGTGCCAGTCCGCCCGAGATATGACCGGTTGAAGTTGGGCTTCCACGGTCGGGATGGAGGTGTCGAACTGGATGGGGGTCAGCCGGGGAGGCTGTTGTGGCGCACCGGACCGCCCCCCAGCACCGTGGCCCACCCAACTGTATCCATGGGAGTCACAAACGGTGCTGCACTCGCGGCCGCAAGCACTTACGACACTCAAACCCACCACCTGCCTCCTACCCTGTACGAGGAGCCATTTCACCCGTGCAACATCTGCACAGGTGTACCGCCGACGCTCAAGCGCCCGGCCCCTACTAGAGTAGTCTTGTGGGACCCGCAAACGACCAATACATCCACTCGGGGCTGCAGCATGTGTCCGGGTGGGCATCCCCGTGAAGCAGCCAGCAGGTGCCGGACATGGCGTTGGCCGTCTTGGACCGAGATCAGGGCGCAACTGCCTATATCGTGGGGCTGAAGGACCGTCATGGGGTCGGCTTTGATGCTGCCAACCAGTCGGGTCGATAGGTGGCGCCCCGGCGAGATGCATTGCGGGTGCTCGGCGTCGCCTGCTTGAGTGGCCTGAACACACTCGCGGGAGCCAGAGAGCAAAGGTGTGCGCGAATTGAGGCTTCTGAGCGAGTCCAGGCAAGCCACAGGACCGGCCATGTGCGTGGGTAGTCGAGCGGTGGCCGGAGGTAGCCTCCAGTAGTGCCTCTCAGTTCGACACCTCGGTCTCGACCACTGCCCCTGTCCCTGCCGCCGCCGTCGCCGTCCGATTCCTCCCGTGACGCCTCCCCGCCGCCCGGCCTGATCCGCGGCGTGCAACGCCCCCCACGCACAAACATGGGCACACACCTCGGCATCGCCGACCCCCCAGCCCCCTGCCGCCGCCGCCGCCGTCCCTGTCGCCCCCGCTTCCACCCACTTGCTTTACTGCCGACTCCAAGTGGGAGGCAGCAAAAGCACGCAGACAGAACCCTGAGAACGTCGCCATCGTGTAGCAGACAGGCCTGGCTAGCCGCGCGTTGGGGAGTAGTGTTTGTGTGTGTGGTGTACTCTCTCTCCACTCAGTGTATAGTGAGTGAGCAGCGCACGATAGAACAACTGAAAAAACCTCGAAGCCCTGGGAGCCCTCCCCCTACTGTACTCGCGGGCTCATTTGCACTTTTCCAGTGACGTACTCGAGTAGCTGGACGTATTGCAATAGCTCTTACTTTTGCAAGGAAAGGGGGAGGCGCCGGCCGGGCCCGGCCCGGTGTACCTGTGTTAGTGCCAGTGCGCGCCAGTCCCATGCCCAGTGTAAATAAATAGAGAGGCGAGTTGTTTAGACAAGCCTGAGCCCTGGCCTCGACACCTCGACACCAAACCTCGACACCAACTCGACACCTCGACACCCCATGCCAACTCGACACCCTCGACACCCCTCGACACCCCTCGACACCATCTAGGCTGGTACCACGCTCGTCCGTGTCAAGGTGCCAAACTCGACACCTCGACACCGCTCGACACCGCTCGACACCGCTCGACACCGCTCGACAACCGCTCGACACCGCCGGGGGGGGGCTCGACACCTCTGATGATCTAACACAGCAGAGACGTAGACCCATTTGGAGTCACAGAGTTAGAAAATCAGGGTTGCAGCAGCAATACTTGGCTGGCAGTACTTTTATCCCTCAGTTGCAGCCTCTCAAAAGTTCTAGGTCAAGTTGCGGCTCAGTTGCACCCCTGTTGATGTAGCAAACATGGCAGTACTCAGGTAGCCCTCAGGTGCTGCACAGCACCTTGTACAGTGGCAATGAATCCTCACACCAGTGAGCTTGTGCCATGAGTGCAGACCTGTGGTCCATTGCGCTTTGTGCACTGGCGACGCTCGGCTGCAACGGCGACGCTGCAGCGGCGGCGACGCTGAAACGCGCAACGAGAGAGACCTCTGTCTCTCTCCAACAGCTCGGCCGCGCCTTGGCCCCGTGGACGCACGTAGAACTTCACGTGACAAGGAGCTTCTAATGAAACCGGGCGGCGACTTGATCCTTCCCTCGGAACGTCGCCGCAAATTAACTTATCTCCTGCGTTCGCATTTGGGCGGCCATCGCAACACTCCCTAGCTCAACTGTCGACCCTAACGGGTCGCCAGCCGATCGTCATTGGGGTACTGTAGCCCTTAGCTGCTGGACAGCACCTTGTGCAGTGGCAATGTCCACTGACTCATGGCACCAGCCTTGTGAAAGGAGCGCTGTGGTCAGTTGCGCTTTGTGCGCCGGTGGCGCTGCAGGGGCGACGACGCTGCAGCGGCGACGCTGCTGCGGTGCTGCGCCTGCACAGCACCTTTGTGCACAGTGGCAATGACGCCCGGCACTTGATGTCCTCAAATGTCCACAGAGAGTATACTGGTTGTGCTCAGGTTGTGCTACATCAACAGGGTGCAACTGAGAGGCTGCAACTATAAGGGATGAAACAGCTTTGCAACTGCTGCCCAAGTTTTGTTGATGGGCTGCAACTGCATCCTGCCACCTTGGACACCTCGACACCTTAGACGCAAAACCCCTTGACAACACTCGCGACACCCGCTCGACACGCTCGACACGCTCGACACCCTCGACACCCCTCGACACCCCTCGACACCCCTCGACACGGACAAGCGTGGTACCAGCCTCGACAGGCCTCGACAGGCCTCGACAGGCCTCGACACCTCTACCCCTCGACAGCAGCTCGACACCCTCCACACCGGGCCTCGACACCTCGACACCAGGGCTCAGAGACAAGCCCCAGCGTGACACCATGTTTCGGTTACCGGCGACGTCAAAGGAGCACGACACGTCACCCTTTATTCGAGAGTCCGGTGCACGCCGCTGAGCGCCTGAGGGACCCTCAGGTATTTGCTCACCCAGCCAGTGCGTCACAAGGGACTGTTCTACTAATCAAAACCCGCCCTCAAACCAAGGGTAAACCAAGGGACCTTTGGCAAAGGGCTGGGAATGCTGCGCCCACCCCCAGCGAATTCATCGGGACGCGGGGGGGGGGCTCTCTTGGGCTAGAGCAGGTTTTGGCCTGTATATACTTTTCCGGCAAACAAAAAGGAAAACAGAGGGTCCCCAGCACTTTGCGTTTCCGGAAATTTCCAGGGAAAACAGAGGGTGTTTGGTGCTCCATTCTGGAAAGTCGCGAGTTTCCCTGAGTCTGAGAGCTGGTCTGGGGCAAAATCTGAGGCAAAATTGAGGAAATCGACAAAATACCCAGGCGGTCGCAGGGTAAGTTCCATCCAGGTATACACGTGTTCTCCGCAAAATTCCCGGCATTTTGCCGATTTGGCCTAAAATTTGGCTGATTTTGGGCCCAAACCAGCCTCAGACTCGGCTCAGCGCCCAAAATTTGACGATTTCCACGGAGTTTTCCCGGGAAAATAGAGAGGAAAAGAGAGGGTGTTGTAGAGAAAAAAGGAAAGGAAAACAGACGGGGTGCGAGAGGCAAACCTGCTCTAGCCCAAGGGCTCTCTCGGCTACGGACGGCCTAGACGGGACCGGCCCCAGCTTCGGGCTGAGGTAGTGGTAGAACAAGCTGCCGAGCCCGAAGGAGGTGGGCGTGGGGTGGTCCTCACCCCGGCGGCCCGCGCACGCACGCCGTCTGAGCCTAGCGCAGCGCGAACTCGCTCTGAGCCTAGCGCAGCGCGAGATTTGCGCAGCTACCAGGCCGGGCAACCCTTTTAAAAAGTTTTCAATTCTCACGAAAGGATTTTTTCAGGCGCCGTTCACGTAAACGCACAACCCCGGGCGCCGTTCACATAGTGTCAAATCCTCCCAATGTCCGCTGACTGCTCACCCAGCCAGTGCGTGCGCCTTGCGCTCGGTCCCACAGAGACCGGTGGGCGGCCGTGCAACGACGGCGTGTACGCCGTGGGCGTGCGTGGCGTGAGGCTGTCACCTTGCGCCGCCGCTGACGCGTCCTATGCGGCTGAGTTCGCACCGCTGGGCCAAGGCAGAGTCTACCGGGCGCGCGCCGCGGACGCGGACCCAGTGCACCCGTGGCGCTACCTGTGGCACTCGAGCGCCGCTGCCGGTGGCTGGGTTCTGGGTGCGCGCCGTAACCTTCTTTTCTCCACCGTCTGCCCCCCACACATCCGTAACAGGCGTGGATGCTCCGGCTGCCGCAGGCGCCGCCCCGCCCTCCTCCGACGCCGTCCCACTCCACTTCTCCATCGCCGACGCGGGCGGGGGCGTTGGCCTGCCGCTGGGGAGCTGGCACTGGGAGCGGAGCTGCGCGGCGTGCCTCGGCCCCTCGCCAAAGCCAGAGACGGCCCTCCTCTCGCTGGCCTGCGCGCCCTGCTCTCCGCCCGTCACCGAGCCGCCGCCAGCGGGAGGGGGCGTGCCGGGCGCATCTTCCCTCTCCGTCGTCCGCGTCTCCTGCACCTCCATCGACTTCAGCTGGCGGCCGCCGCTGCCGCCACTGTGGCCACTCGACGCGCCGCCTCCCTCAGAGTACGTCTTGCGGGGGGTCGCGACCGCCACCGAGGCGGGCGCCCCGGCGTCGACCGAGATGGCCGAGGTGCGGTCGGCGGGCCTCTCTGCGCGCGTGAGCGGCCTGCAGCCGGGGTGGACCTACTCCCTTCGCGTGGCTCCGCGCGGCGCGAGCGGCGTTGGCGGTCGGGCGACCGCCTCCCGCCCCCTCTCCATCACCACCACGCGGGTTCGCGATTCTTTTGTGCGAGGGAAAGGCGCGAGGCGGGACGCAGGAGCAGCTCACCGCCCTGCGTCTCCCCCCTCCGCAGGTGCGGGCCGAGCCTCCCGACGAGTGGCCAATCGAGGCGCGCGCCGAGGGCTTCGACGCGAGCCGGTACGGCGTGGGTTCGCCCCTCGCCGCCGCCGAGTCCGCCGCGCCGTTCGACGCGTGCAGCACCGCGCAGTTCTCGATCCCCGCACCGCCAACTTGCGCCGGCGACGCCGCATCTCTGCTGTGCCGCCGCGCCGCCGCGTCGGGCGCTTGGGAGCAGGACATGTGGGCGTGGGGCGCTTGTGCCGCGACGCGCCGGGTCTCGTCGGGCGGCGCTGCATCGAGGCACACGTGGCTGGTTGGCGGGCTGCGGCCGCTGCAGTCAGTGACCGTCCGTTCGCGGCTCACCTTTCGAGAGCCTGCCCTCCCCGAGGGTGGGGGCGGGGGAGGGGACGGGGGCGCGGCGGGAGTGCCGCACGCCAAGCAGACGCGCTGGGGTGCACAGGTGGGTCCGAGCCTCGCCGGCTGGCCCGCGCCGTCGGTACTCGCGCCACCGCGCGCGCGCGCGCTCTCCTCCGCCTCCTTCGAGGTCCTGCCGCCCAGCGACCCCTTCCCGCGCTGCCGCGCCGCCGCGGCCGCGCCGGTGAGGTGGCGGGTCGAGGTGGACGATGGCGCCAGCGGAGAGCCAGAGGGCCGCTGGCGGGCGGTGCCGGCTACGGCGCACCGCGGCGACGGTTCCACTACTGGCCCGCTCGGAGGCGGCGGAACCACGCTCGAGCTGGACGTCACGCTGCGTTGCCCGCCGCCCCGCGGCTGCGGCTTCCGCCTCGTGCCGCTGAATGTGGAGGGCGTGAGCACGGCTGGCGCCGCCGCGCGCGCGGTGTCGGCGCGTCTGCCTGCCCCGTCGGGCGCGACGGCGGTGTGGATCGAGTTGTGGCTCGTCGAGACGGCGGCGCTGCCTGTCGGGGCGCCTTCGCACCCCTCCGGCGGCAGCGCCGCGTTGCTCGCCCGGCACGCTTGCCTTGCCGCGGAGCTTGCCGCGGCGCTGCGATTGCTGCCCGCCGCGCCGCTGCTGGCAGAGTGTGAGGCGGACCCGGCGTCGGTGGCGGGAGTCGCCGCCTCGGCGGGGGTTCGCGTGCTCGAGTCGCGATTGCGAGGCACCGCTCTCGTCGTCGAGCTCCCGCGGGCTGCCGGCGCGCAGGCGCTGGCTGCGGGCCTCGAGGCTGCCGTCGGGGGAGGATGGAGGGCGGATGGCAGTCGCTCCAGCCGCGAGCACCGCTCCGTCGCCGTCGCGTTGCTCTCTGGTGCCATCGCCCCTCTGCTCAACGCGAGCCGCGGCGTGCTGCGCTGCGTCGCCCCGGGCTGCAGCACCGATGACGCGTGGGCACAAATGACGCCGGGCGTCGTCGCGCTCGCGGCGCGGCGGTCGCCAGACGAGCAAGGCTTCGACTGTAGACATATGCAGACGGTGAGGCA